TTTATCGAAGCCTATCTATCACATACATATAAACTCTTAAATATTAATAATAATAATTTTTCAACACGCATTAAACTCAAGTTCTTTAACAATAGTTTAACTATTTTGTACACGAGAGTTTAAATTAAGTAATAATAATATTAAACAAAACAATCCTGACAATTTTTCGGGGAACCGAATCGTGTCGACCGCGCCTCTCGCATTTTTTTTTATTTATACGTAAAATTTACATTTAAATGTATTAATATTTACAACTTTACAAAGCTAGCGAGCGCGCCCGTCTGCGCTCGCGAGCGGTAATATGCAATGTTTGGTATTACAACTAGCAGATCGCGGCCGGACCTGTGGGGGGGTGAGGGGGGGGGGGGCACACCCGCTCAGTTGTAAAAGTTAGCTAATTGGAGTATGAGGTGGTGTGAGCAGCTGTGCGAGGGGGGAGGGCCCCGCTCGCCGGCAGCTCCATCTCTGACGGTGACTGTCCTCGTGCCTTGTCCGCGAGCTCGCGCTGCACCTCGTCACCCCGCGCACACACACCGACACGCACACACACACACAGTCCGACTGAATGCACGCGCGCGGCGGCCCCGCGGCTACCCCGCGACATCCCCGCCTCCAAACCGCGACATCCTCGCGACGTCTCCGCGCCGCCGTGCCGGCTGCCGGACGCTATTTGGGGTCGTCCTCGTCGTGGCACATTAGTATTCTGGAAATATAAAACAATACACTTAATAATAATAATAAAAAGCAATAGTAACATTCTCAGAAACACTTTTCATTGTATGTTAATTAATATTTTAAAATACAAGACAGATTTTACAGATCATGACTAGATCGAGCCGACCTTCATACACGAATAAAATATATATCATATAGGATTGATTATCGATGTACATTTCAGATCCCACAATACTTTGAAATTCCCATCAAAATTTTAGTACATCTATCGGCTAAATACACCATTAAAAAAATATTAATAATTATGTCGACACGTGCCCAAACGATGCTAAGACTCAACACCACGACTGCCGCGAGACGAGCCGAGGACTCAGTGAGTAGAGGTGGGGTTTACTCACTGCAGGACGGCGGGCAGTAGCGCGGCGGGCAGCAGCGCGGCGGGCAGTAGCGCGGCGGGCAGCAGTGCGGCGGACAGTAGCGCGGCGGAGAGCAGCAGCAGGAGAGGGGCGCGGGGCGGTGTCGCGCACCAGCCCGCGTTGCCGTGCTGCATGGCCGCGGGTTGCTCGCCTGTAACACACCACGTTAACATCTCAATCTCTTGCTCAAATCCGAAAGTAAACTAACCCCAAAACATGGTATTTCGTAAATAACAGAAGACGAAAGCAATGTAATATTGACGTGCCGGGCGGGTGGTGGTCAGTGAGGTGGTGGTCAGTGAGGTGGCGGAGTACTCACCGCTGAGCACGTGCAGCACGACCGACGCCGCGTCCAGGTTGGAGGGCGAGCACGAGTAATTACCGGAGTCTTCTCTCCGCGGATTGTAAATTATTAAATTTCCCACCTGCGAAGCACACATTAGTATCGGTATAGCATTTCGATTTTTTACTTAGTGACCTCTCTTCTAATCCTACTAATATTATAAAATGCGAATGTTTAGATGTTTAGATGGATGATTGTTTGTTTGAAGGTATCTTCAGGCCGGCTGAACTGATCTCAATTAATTTTGGCATATATATATATATATATATATATGTATAGAACACAGCCTGGAAGAACACACATACTATTAATAAAGTTTTTATTTTTAATTCTGCGGGGACGGAGCCGCGTGCGACTGCTAGTCACATGTATCATGTGAATAAGACATTCATAGGTTATGTGGGTCTGTCCGGCTGTGGTGCAGAAGGGCTGTGGGGAGGCTAGCGAGGCGAGTACCGTGGTATCGGGCGGCAGGCGCTCGGTGCGGATGTCGACGAGGCGGCGGTCGTAGTCGAGTACACGCGCGCCGTTGTGGTACCAAAAGATGTAGGCGGGCTCCTCCAGCGCCTGCGTCACCACGCACTTCAGGCTCACTGTGCTGCCCGCCTTCACATAGAGCTCCGCCTCGCCCACGATCTCGATCTTTGGCACTGGTACCCCATATTCATAATTTTTAGATATTCATTCAGATAGATATTGCTTTATGATGCTATCAACATACATAGTCTAAAAATTATTGTAAGGTTGTAAAGGAAGTTATCTAATTAAAGTATAGTATCAAAAAATCACAGATCCATAACAAATGACATTTGCAACATCTGGCACGCATAAGTTATAACATTACAAGTAAGTAAGCGGTAACATAAGCACATATGAATGGTTAGATCGAGCCCGAGAGCAGATACAAGTGAGTGGGGAGCGGACTCACCGACAACGTTGAGCTGCACGAAGTGGCTCATCTTGGGCTCGGTGCCGACCTGGCACTCGTAGAGCCCGGCATCGCGCGCCTGCACGTATTTTACCTGTCGACACACACGCGCTCTTCAAGTCAGGCTCCGCGCCGAACATATTAAGATGGGGTCAAGGATCGTCACTCAGTATTTAAGCGTAAAGGAAAGAACGAGACCTGCAGAGTCCAGGTGTCGGTGGCCTCGACGAGAAAGGCCTGGAAGCGCTCGTCGGCGATGAAGGTGAAGCGGTCGACGGTGAGGATGTGTGCGTCGCGGCGCCGGATCCACGATACCGACTTGTTGCTCAGCTGCCGGATCTGGGCAACATTGTACCACTGCCTGATCTACGCACTCCTCATTACAACTGCTTATGTACGTGGGGCAATTAATCTAGCAGAAAGTATTATAATTTGTAATAGTACGTGTCCCTCCCAAGTTGTAAAGTCACTTTAAAATATGATTAACACCTTAGATTTTGTTTAGAAGCTTTATGAAAGTATTTCGTTCACTCGTGTGAAATCTGTGACCCTAGTTATGTTAGACAAAGCAATAATTCTGCAGCGTAGCAGTAATCTTACTCGCGGTCACATTTCTAAACTTCTCTTTGTTGGAGGAATAAAAATAATTAATTGATAAGGAATGAGAAATAGCACCTTGCACGGAAGATAGGCGTGAGTGCCTAGCTGGGCGGTGATGTTGTTCGGCGCCGTGGGGTCGAAATAGGGCCCCGTATACAGCCCAACGTAGCGCTTGACGAGGCGCGCGCCCTCGCCACCATCCGAACCCTCGCCGCCCTCGACGTCTTCGACGCACGAGAGCACTGCCCCAACATGTTTTAATCAAATCAACTTTTACTTCGTCCGCGCCTATGTCACACATGGATAGTGTAGTGTAGCTTCTCAATAGTGGAAGGTCTTCAAAGTCTCTTTATTTTATTATATGTTTGCAAGTGTTTAAATATTTGTCATTGTGATAAAGATGAAACATCTTATAACCAATTAACTACACGTCAGTTTATTTCTGCAGTAACCAAGTAATTATAATAAACAACTACATCGAGGCCGACAGATGTTATAAATATTGACTTAGATTCGCTGTTGGCGACACAGACCTTTGATGAGGTGCGCGGCGAGCAGCAGCGCGGCGCCGAGCGCGTGGCGGCGGCCCGCACGCGCGCCCATCGTGCGCCCTCGCCCGGCCGGCCCGCGCGCGCCCTGCGCACACCACACAAACCACCCAATGTAATGAAGCATTTCAGTAACATCTTTGTATTAGTTTTTACCTCAGTTTTGATAATAAAGAAACAGACAAGGTTTTTTATTTCTTTTTTCTTAAGTAAATATAGAAGTGATAATGTACTCGAGTATACACAGAAGGGCGATTTGTAGGAGCGGTGACAAAGCGGCCGCGCCTGCTAATTATCGCTCAGTGCAAATAACATTCGACGACGGGGACATTAAACATGTCTACGTTGTTATTTTAATGAACTATTGGCCGACGAGGCCAGTTGAGTAGTCGCTAACATTTGCAATCAACTTACTTACTGTATCAATTGTCCTACTGTTTCATTACAAATTCCTAGATCAAAGTGTTTATTCGATTTATCGTCTTAGAGGACGACATTTTGTCATAAACTGGTTAACTGGCTTCAAACAGTTTGATAAACTAATTAAAATCACGACTAAACTAAAAGTTATCATTATTAAGACGAATATTCCGGAACGCACAGAGGATAATTCCTCTTCCTAAGCGTGTCATGTCCGCTCTATAAATATTTAAATTTGTTTGACAACAACGATACTTCTATGAACCGTCTCTTGCTAATACCTTTGAACGTGTTTTTTTTACCGCTTTTATTCTCCGCACTTGGTCGATGTCACTAGACGTGTATCTTTGGCAGCGGGGACATACCCAATTTACAACAGACAGGCACCAACCTGGAGTGGTGTTCAATTGGTGCGAGTGAGGGGATAACACTCTTTGTCAAAACAGTCAAGTTTGCCCCCGCGTCGCAGCATGCAAGGGGCATTCAGCACCCCGCGCCCCGCTTCCCGCGCTGAGTGCTAGTACGTGACCGGGCGCCACCGCCGTCGCTGCCGATAATATTATTCAAACAGGCGCACTCACTTTTTCGCAGAGCGCGAAGTGAAAGTGACAATCTGAACGAGCTCCTCTTTTTACTCGTCAGCAGATGTAAATTTCAGCCTTTAGCGTAACAATGCCGAAGTATTTAGTTTTGTTCAATGAAACGAAATTTGAATCAAGCTCGTTGTCAAAAGGCAAAGGCGAACCCTATTACTCTATTTTCAAGTTTTACATTATTTATCCATTTAACGTTATCGTGAAAAAGTTAAACGTCAAAAAGATAGCTAGGACTCATCGAGTCAAGATGTGATTGATGACATTAGCCGCTGCGGTACTTGCTGCTCAAACATTTCTGAACAGATCAATAACACAACAGTGAGTGAGTGCAACGAAAAATCGTATTCGATTGAAGAAAAGAAAAGGCTAAATATATATTTTATTTAACCATAATGTGAGAGTCAAATTACATTATTGTAGCTACAATAATTCACATAACACTGAAAATGGTTAGGAAAACCATCGTGTGTGAAAACTGAAAAGTCGCCATCGTTCCAAAAGATTTTCACGTTTTTGAGTGAAATGGTTTAGTAATAATTTTATATGAAGACTTATCTTTGACCGAATTGAAGTTATAAAACACCGCTACGTTGTATAATATTAGCGAAAAAATATTATAATATATTATTACTTTATATATTATTATAATATACAAAGTATTTCTGATAATGGTAAAAACATCGTCCCAATAAAATGTTTGCCTCTCACTCCAGACTTTTAGAAGATGAGTTATTAAAACGAATCATTAATACTTGGTTGTTTAGTAAGTAACAGGAGCATAACAGGAGCAATAAATCGCTTTCTAATTAAATGATCGAGGCAGTTTTCAGATTTCACACAAATTTATAATTTCGACATTTCCGACTTTTCAGTTCTATGGGAATTACCATACCCTTGTTTATGCGACAGTAACTTAGACAATATCTTTCTCTATGCTGACAAAGTCGCGTGCAACCGCTAGTGTCACATGAGATTCATTCTGTTTGCACATTGAAATCTCTGTTCCCGCAACAAAAAGTCAATAAATCGAAAATCTTCAAATCAAACTGATATCTGTACGTGAAAAAGCATGTTCACAGCTTCTAAAAACAGTCAAAGTAATATGAGGTTTAGTACAATATGAAGATGCAGGATGCTGGATGTGCGGTGGTGTATTGTTCAGTCTCGGTCTCGACACACACTATATTTGAAAGGTAGACAGTATTTCTTTTGCATTTCACCGCCGATATTTTCGTTTATCTGCATGATGTTATATAGTTTTTTTGGGGTTAAATTCATTTTCATTATTACACCTTATTTTTTTTACAATACAATGAATATCACGGCATTTACGTTTACATTTGATGTGGTATTTTCTATTTTTAAGCGTCACAACTAGACTGTACAACAGCGTCGCCCCGAGCGCAGGAAATATTGATGAGTTTTCAAAAACACGTATTAATCATTACTTTAAACATATCAAAGACGTAAGCTCGATGTTGTCCCGGGTAACTCTAGAACTCTGTTTAATTTTTGAGCTACTGTTTGTCTCGGAATCACTTATCTGTAATCGTACAACCTTTCGCTACTAATCTGATTTTTTTTGTGACTGATTGTCACTGTTTGCCTTGAGGAGGCATTTACAGCTTCACCGGGCTTGAGGTGGCCGAGCGCAGATGGCACTTAGCCTAAACCTCGTTTAAGAGTAACTAAGCTCGAGGGCTCCCTCAGGAACCTCGGCTCGGGCCGTTACTTCGTTATTATTACCGGATTGGGAAGTACTAATGTGATGCTCAAATTGCAAAACAGTGATATTGGTTGTTTCACCAACCTCGTTGTTTAACTAGGAAGTAGAATGTTGGAAGGCGCCTGCTCACTCTATGGGTAATTTCTCACTACTTCTTGACTAGGGATGTTTTTGCCCAAATGAGCTAGATGATATACTATAGTTGACTATTCTAATTATACAATAAAGAGAAGACTATGATACTGAGCGTGCGGTCGGCTAATTTGTTTGTTTTCTTACTAATACTTTTGAGTGATTGAAATTAGACATAGAAGCCACAATCTTTGTTGACGTCGCATAAAAGATCACAAATGATATTAGTGTGTAACTTATACACTCGAGGTCACTTAATATTACGAAGCTGACCCGTGTTGCAAGCTATGAAGTCAGTGCATCGTTAAGCGTTGCGTGCTAATAGTTGTATAATCTGTAGCATATCGGAGTGTTATCTCATTTTCAATTAGAAGGTGGTGATGATATCGACACACAAAGTGCTCGTAAAATAGTCACCGCCATTAAAACTGAGGTCGTGTAATAACATAGCCGATAAAGCGGGCGCCTTTAGAGATGTCTTGGAACTTGTGCTAAATATAACATGACGTCATTACATCGCTGTTTAACATTTGAGTCTAACATATTTGTAGTTTCATAATATATCTATAATACTGGCAATACAGGTACAGGTGCTGTAGTCATGAGGAGGTTCCACGGCTGGTCTCGGTGTCGTCGGTAAGCCACGCAAGATGTGACGTGAAGACTTGATATCGATACGATGATAAAGCTAAAGAGCTATTTTCTTGAACACGTTAATTTCAGGACCCACCATTAAGTTATCATTGTGACTCGCCTCGCCCGCATCATTTTACTTCTTTCAAATGAAAGATGTACAAAGAAATATATAATTTTGAAAAGTTTCTACTCATTCAATATCCTCTCGGCTACTTTCACACTTCTTATTGGGTTAGTAGTTTCACAAGCGCGAGCTAAATTGGATTTGCATCGGAGGCGGCACGGAATAAGTTTTCGCAAATGAAATTTCTTTGGAAATATTCAACTTTGAATTAATAAAGTTATTACGTTTGCATTGTTCTTGGGCTATTGCTAGTATAATATAGGGCTTCAGTCAGATAAGCTTTATCTTTAGCCTTAAAGCTTTTAAAGAACATAAATTGGGAATTCAAAGCTAAGTTCCATTGATTTCTGTTCAATCGCACGTTAAAACCGAGGTTTAAAAGTTAATTAAAATATAGGTTGACGGTGGAGAAAGGGAATGTTTTATTCAACCGCCAGGCTCATCGGCAGAGTGCCCGCGGCAGAAACTAATGCTCATGGGTTTATAGAGCTCGTAAAGTTTAACGCGGCGTCGGGCGGCGGGCGTCGCTAAACCTTGTCACTGTTAACAGGTGCGGTGCTATCGTTTGGAACTTATCATCCTGTTTTATCGCAGATGAAAGGAATATTATAAACGATTACACTATACACATAATAAAGTCATTCCGTAGGAAAATGCTGCGTGCAATCGTCTAGATCATATCTGTACGGATTGGGCAGATGACACTATCTCAAGAGATAACTTCGTTCGTCGCTACCAGCCTGCGAGTGATTAGACATCCTGACTCGTCTCAACGAATCCTTAAACTGTCCTCACTTTCACTCTCCTTACGTAACCTGAAACTTACTTATTTTAAGGATGTAAGTGTAACCGAGCTCAGTACACAGGAGCCATCACATCACGTCAAAACACAAACTCTGGTCAATCACTGAATACGATCACAGCGGGGATTCATGTCGCACTTCACTGGACGCGTAGCACTCGCGCGGGACGCAGCGACGCCGTGCGCGACACGTTCGTGCAGCGCGGCCGGCCCGGGGCACTGGCGCACCGCGCCCCGCGCCCCGCGCACCCTGCGCGCGCACACCGCCCCGCGCCCCACCCCGCGCCCCACCTCGCGCCCGTACTGAGTCCGTACGAGACCCCAACGATCGCAAGCCGTAGTCCACGATGATCATTTTTACATCTGCAGTGTGGTGACATTGAAACTTAACGTTCAAGATCAGGTCTCCTCGCAGATATTGTAGGAGCGAACATATAACATCCGAAAGCCCTTAAGCTATTCGACTACGTGTGGGTGGCATTAGCGACGCCGCGGCCCTAGACGGCGGCGGCGACGGCGCCGTCGGCGTGGGCCGGTGCGATCCGCGGTTCCGCTAAGAAATGTCGACGCTTCGGAATTTAATTTTGCATATTTTTTACGCTATAGGATATTGTAAGGATTTGCGGATTCCATTTAGCAGACGAGAACGATGATGATTGTTCATATATTATCTAAACGTCAACGTCGGGCGGAGAGCATCTCGTTCTGCGGCTATGATATTGTGCGAGTGCGATCAATTCTTTCCACTAAATGTAAATTTGCATGAAATATAGCAATCATGTATGAAACAACCATACACAGAGAGAGAGAGAGAACATGTGACATTACCTGGTGCTATGCAGTGCAGTATGGCCACAGATAAACCTTCATATCTCATGTCTGCCCTTGGGAACATGTGCTTTGTAAACACAGCAAAAAGTAAGTTTTCACCACACGAGACACGAGACACGAGCATTAAATTAATTGTTATAATAAAACACGTTCGGAATTCAAACAAATCAGGTTATGATCAGTCGATTCCTTAACACTATTTAGTGAGTCTTATTTATCTTCCTCTTTACGTACTTACGCCAGGATACATATCATCCCTCGTAATTTCATTCACATTTCTCTTGGTTGAATTGGTTCCGTGGACCCGGCTCCCGCATATAGTTATATGCATCTAAAGTTAGCGAAGTCCTATCTCCTAGAAAAGTAGAACAAGCTTTAAATTCAATTTTACCTGGATTCTGTATTAGCGGACACGTTTACAGCGCGACGGAGATTTGATTGCACAAACTTTTATTTCTACTTGTACTAAGTTTCAGTTTTATGAAGAGTCGGAGTTTCTGTCACGCTGTCGCCTGGACACTACATTTTGTCACAATTTTAATGTGAGTCAATAGAAATGAGTTGTGATGTTGAACATCCACAGTTTGCACCAGACCTAAGCTATCAGTGAATTGTGAACTAAACGTACATAATGTGATGATGATGATGACGCACGGATAAAATGCTTTAGAATATTATGTAAGTTTGGTCTCTGTTATGTTATTGTAAAGTTAATCGCTCAGGGAACGTCCATTTCTCTATCGCCTATTTTCAGAAATAAACCTTTTATGAATATTTACATAATAAGTATGCCGACAAAAATGACAAAAAGTACGCGTGAGTGGCAAAGAATCGCGCCCTCGCGGACAAACCAGCGTGTCTCGGCTTGCGTCAGAACAGTGCCTCTTTGTGAGAGTGGTTCGTTGCTACAATTCCGATTGCTGCGATGTGGTCAAATGTGGAATGTGGCGGGCAGACCGCAGGCCCAGTGCGAGTCTGCCCTCTGTGACTGCTACTCTCATACTGTCTGTAAGTCGTACATATGAGTACATTTACTATTCTTGATGAGAGATTATTGAGAGACGATGCCTCGCCTGCATTTAATCGATGGCGGCATGACGCATAATATAACTTTTTGTCAACTCCGCTACCCCTTACAACTTAACCTTATTAGAAAATGGCAGCAAAGGACAGAGAACTGAAACTACACCATCAGCACGACCACTCATCAGAGGAAACATGTAATTGCTTCCACTTGACGCCCGCCTTGTGCGTGGTCGTGACATTACACCGGACGAGCCGGCAATTCGTGCAACAGATGTTTTTGGTGATTGCGTGCACCACTGTTAAAGTAATTTAAATGGCGTTGGAGAGAATGCCTTCACAATCACAAGCAATAATAAAAGATTTTTACAAAGGTTTGCACATTAGGTCAAATTTTTATTTATCTTATATATACTCGTAAAGTATCCTACTTGTAAAATAACAATTCAGTAAGATTTTGTCTCAATACAGTGACAAGGTGTGTTAGTGTTATAACTGAATTAGTAAATGATGCAATTTATGTATTTCCAAAACCACGTCCGACATACGCCGCAGATTAATTCTGATTCTGGCCATCGTCGGGATTTAGCGGCAATAACACCCGCCCCGCGCACCCCCCCAGCACCCCTCGCCCCTCGCCCCGCCCGCATTGCGACAGCGCGTGGCGCGGGGTGTGCGGAGTGTGCGGGGGATGGAAGGGATGGAAGGGGTGGAGAGCAATTGATGCGCTTCATTGCATCCGGTGCTGCATCAAATATTCATGTCGTACCAAAGTACAACAAACACGCGAGCAATCTTTTTCAAGTAAATACTAAATTTTACTTTACTGACTTAGCATTAAATAATACTGTTCAAAAATTACATATGCTATATATTTATATACTCGTATTTAATATAATTTTATTTGACATTACAACAATATATAATACGTGAAGTAAACACTTTTTTAAAGAAGTTGCGCGAACTCGTTACAAGTCTCGAGTTGACGTAGATGTGAATCAAAAATTTGTCGAGTTACCTGTTAATGAATTTAAACAAGTCTTTTACGTTTACACTATTGGTTATCGTAAATTTTGGTACAGGCGTCTTTACATGCTGCCTGCGGCAAGTGGTGACAAGAGACGTGGCGAGCGCGCTGGGCCGGGCTGCGCTGGCCTGGCCTAGGCTGGGTCGGGCTGGCTGCGGTGATCTACTAGGGGCTTTGCATAATAGCGAGCACACCTCAGCTAAGTGCAAGTTCACAAACATTGAATAATTCATGGCCGCCGCCGCTCGCCGCACCCGCGCCCCACAACAACAAACTGCTTGCTTGCACTTTGTAATTCCAAGAATTCTCACTTTAAATACTCGTATGTAGAGAATTGTTCCTTTATTCGATTCGTATTGTTACTGTTAAATTATCTCTTGACATTATTTCCTATTTTCATTGAACATATTTGCTTTGACGCTGTGACTTCTCATCGCCGTACTGTCCGCACATTAATCTATACAAAGTTCTAAGCGTTTTACCATTTACATTTGCCATAATTTTACCAATTTTCTGTAATTATATGAACTAAACTCAACTGGCCACGTCGGACTCCACGTATTATAACTGATGTAGTGTAACCTAAGGGAACGTTAATTATTTCCTCTCTCGCTCCAATGAGCCGCCAAATTAGGTGATCTCACTAATGAATTCCTTAAGGCGCGCTCTAGCTTTGTCCCTGCTATTTTTTTCGCAGCTCGCTCCGGGTCGGGCAGGTGTTCTATAACAAAGGAACAAATGTAAGCTCGTGCCGGCGCCGCGCTGCGCCTGTTAGTACTCGTAGTAGTATTTATCTTGTTTATATAAGTTTTTTAAATGACAGTACTAAGATTCTAGTCCTTATTTGCTTTGTAATTTTTCCGTCTTACAAATTCCTTTCTAAAAATATTCGCTTCTAATGATATCGAATTTGAGCAAGTGTTTGGCAAAGTGTAGGTAGACTAGGTAGAGAAGGTAGCGAGTGGGAGCCACCGGCTTCAACTTTTCTGACATACATAACGCGTTTTTAAATAAGCAACCCTTGCGCATTACAATATTATAGAGGTTCATACTCGGACACCCGTCGCCAAAATGTTGTTCTTTCATTGCCAAAGTCTGTTTGAACATTATACTTATTTCCGGAGCGCGCGCAACACTGTACTAGCGACGCGACGTATGTTAGTTTCAAAGATTTACGTTTCCTTGTGTACAAAGGGACTAATTTCGCTGCGAATAAAAAGTAGCCGACCCTCTCGAGCACATTCTCATTTTACTTTAAGTCGTTCCCTCTCGCTCGGCTCTCTCGCGACCTCCCTGCAGATGGACCCGTGGGCGATGATTGCGCGGGGCGGCCTGAGAGCGGTGAGCGGGGGAAGGACGATTGAATAAAACACGCCGTTCGATTTGCTAAGGTAAATATTTTATGAGATATTGCTTAATTTATGCTTCGATATTTACGGGAACCTTTTGTCTAAGCTTTTGTAAATTCTATGCGTGTACATATGTGTGTGTGTGTGTGTGTTGCACTGCTCTATGCCTAGGGGAGCATGCTCAACGGGAAGGGCAGCAAATCACAATAGTCTTCTATTATAACACGTGCTTAACTTGAGTGTCACATGATAATTGCGCAGAGCGGGGAAACAGAGATTGGCCGAAGAGAGTAGGTGGGAGTCGAAATGTATATGCAACTTTTTTTTGTTGCTCTTGTTTTATTCATTTGTTAGAAAACTACGCGGTTCGATTACTTTAAGTCTGCTGAAGTAGATCTGAGGCCTAAAGCACATGGCGTAGAGGTGCTACGTTTATTGTGCGTAGCGTAGGCAGCTCGCGTAACATAGACTATGTTTAGTGTCAACTGTCATATCACTCTTGTATATTGCTATCCCTTTTTCCTCGAATCGAACGAGAGGGATAACAGCATGTTTTGGTACAAATGTTACGGCACTGGACATTTCTCCAATGATTATGGGAAATCTCCTATTTATAACATTTTTATATGACAAGGCTGTTGTACTAAAATCAAGTTGCACACAAAAACTATCTTTGAATAAGACACCTCGTAAAATAAATAGTTTTTTTTAAAGAGAATGGGGCAAACGAGCAGCGGGAACCGAGGTGTTCATCGATGCCCATGGACATCAGCCATACCAGAGAAACCGCAGATGCGTTGCCGACCTTTAAGAAGCTGATACGCTCGCATCTTGAAGCTTATTTACCGTTTATTGTTATAATGTTTGTCCCAAGTTTTTTTTTGTAAATCATTACTTACATATTTTTATATATATATATATATATATATATATATATATATATATATATATATATATATATATATATATATATATATATATATATATATAAATATATATATACAACATAAACAATATATTTAAAACATAATGATGCTATGCAGTTTTTAAATAAATAAATAAAATAAATAAATAATTGGCAATGTATTCGTAAAAAATTCGAGACTCATAAAAGTTATTCCAATTAAAGTTGGCGGCTCGTTTAACTGTCAAATGTTTTATTTCTGTGAGCGGCCGACAACTTTACACTCGCTTTGTGTCCGCTCATTCGACTTAACTCTTCTGAATTCCACTTCCACTCTCGGCCATCCGTCTTCGCAATTAATAAGTTTCCGAATCGAGAAATTCAGATAATCCTATTAAAATTAATTAGAATGGAGTTTATTAAAACTTTGAAGGATTCTATAAAATGGTATATTGCTTAGTAAGCGCATCGAGTATCGCTTATAGCTGAGTGATAGTACCGTACTGCAGTGACCTACAGGTGACAGGCGGCAGGCGATAAGCGTCAGCACGGACGCTGCTGTTAATACAAAGTTAAGTGCTGCCCTCAACTTAGCACTGCGGCGACGTGTCTATCGCCGCCACATATGTAGCTACTTGTCGGCCGCGCTGATGCAGAGGAGACTCACCTCCGCTGCATCTAATGTAATTCCCGAGACTATTTTACACGCCTGTGATTAATATTATCCTAAAAATAGAATAGTTTCTGGTTCAATGAATACCAACACCATTACCATTACCAATACATACTATATGTAATCTGTGGAATAATAGCAAACAATCTACATACAAATTGTATCTGTTTGAGAGCATTTCATATTTTCTGGTCGAGTCGAGGCAGCGAGGAAGGAGTTAGGTAGCTTCACTTTATTAAAGTTATTTGCAAAAGGTAAAATAAAATAGGAATATAATGAGGCTAGGTAAAGTTATGAATAATTCATCAATGAAATTGCATTTTAAAGTGTTTACCGTCTGCCGAGGTGTTAGCCGGGCGCGGGGCGCATACGGGGGCACGAGGCGGGGGCAGACGACGCAACACGACACTTCGTACGGTTGCACTCAATAGACACTGGCGGTGTGTGCTCAAGGACAGATTTTTATAGAGCGAGATACACGCATAGTTATTACATTAATTTACCTATATTATTTGTTCTTTAGACGATTTCTAATTATGTATACTTTTTCAAATGTAAAGTTGTTGATAAATGTAATGCTATCCCCTTGCAGATACAACTGTACGAGTGCAAATTCTCATATTTTATTTTAATATACTGTTAGAAAAATGTCCCTTTCTTAATTTACAAATAATTCTGAAGAATAATAACTAGTTCCCTATCCAAACATTCTACCCCTGCTTCAGACCTTGAGGGAATGAAATTAGAATAAAATAATTAAGTGCTTCTTTACTACATAAAATAAATTTATAGGCCTGTGTATTAAGGATATGCGCGCTGCGCTGCGCTGCGCCGACAGCACAGACATGCACCGTGTTTCTGCTTTTGATTGCTTTAAGGTCTGTGTGCGAACTCAAATTAAATCGAGTAAAAATAAACAAACAATAACTTAAATAAAATCCTTCATCAATAAAGGTTCAAAATTATCGTATTGTTTGAAAAAGTCTTTATGAAAAGTTGAATATGAAAACCGCTCAAAGAGAAGTACTCGTCGTTTCTATCTCCGACGTAAGTGATGAGATTTTTTCTATTTCAACGAGCTCCGAGCGGCGCGAGCGGGACAGAGCGGTTGTAATTTGATCATACATTCTTTGACGGCGGCGGGCGGCGGAAGGCGGCAGCTTTTGTAGGTCCAATGACAAATGTGCAGTTTAATAATAATAATAATAATAATTTATTTAAAACAAAGTACATATAAAAATATACATCAATTGTTGGAGCATCCTTTTAAGTATATAATACCTGTGACAGAATGCTCCGTTCTTCCGTACCATACATTTATATTTTTATTTTTTTACAATATCATACACCTTACAAATAAACAAAAAGAAATGATAAGCAATTTGGGTAGTTACAAAGAGAACACCATTCATTAAAACATTGCGGTGTTTAAAATTATGTTTCGAGCGTAAGGACCCGTTCACACTATGTTCAATATGTATTAGTAAATTAAATTTTTAATTATAGTTGATTTATATATCTTTTAGGTGTGTGGATTGCATGTGTATGTCTGTGTGTGTGGTTATGTATTGTATTAGTGTGGATGTGTTTGTGTGTATATTTTAAGAGGGTGAGAAATACGTATGTTTTTTTTATTTATTTGTTCTGAGCATCATTCATTAATTTTACTTATAAGATTTATATTTATATCACCAGTTATAATAAGGTTTTGATGTTTGTTAATTGTATTAAGGTAAAAGTGAAGCGATTCAATAAACTTGTCTGCATTTGATGTAGAAGGAGATCTATAAATACCTAATATGCTATAATTATATATATCTACTTGTATACAGGACGCATGGGTTAATTTAATTTCATTTATTTTAGGTTTAAGGTTAGCTTTAGCGTATACAGTAACCCCGTCGTTTTTATTTAAGTGAAGCGACGTACTAAGCGAAGTGTAATTCTCCAGGAGGTGAATGTTTTTATTTTTGTCTAATTGACATTCTGTCAATATTAATACATCTATATCATATTTAATATTCCTCAGTGTAATTTGGAGATCATCAAAATTTTTATAAATACTTCTAATATTTTGAGTGACAACCGTTAGATCACCTTCATGGATTTTTATCATTTTGTTTAGGTCATCTACATCGCAATTTATTGTTGTTATATCATTAGATTCGTCTATATCTTGTAAAGTAGTTAGTGAATTATTCATGCTTTGAACTAAAAATTATATGATTTGTGTTAAGTTTGCGGGAAAAATTCTTTGGATTTATATTGAGTTGATTATTTGAATTCTCGGTATGTATTGATTTAACTATTTTTATATTGTTTATTTTTAGGCTCATTTTATATAGGTATGTATATTTAGGCAGTAAGCAGTTATGTGTAGCAATGTGTGTTGTAAGATTGTTAAGAGTGATTGTTATTTCTGAACATCTCAATAATATATACTCCTTAATAATTAACATATTAAAAAAATGGCACATAGATCCACTAAAAACACAGAACCGAACTTTAACATGGCATAGTCAGTCTTTGTTAATTAAGGGTTGAATTTGCGATTCATTTGAAATTAAGATGATTGCAGAGTTTTCGTCTTTTCTAACGTACACCTTACCGTACGCTGTCCAACAAAACTTATAGGACTTGGACTTCACCAAATCTCTTGCTAGAAAGTATAATCTGGCTGATTTAGGTGTTAGATTTTCTGTTACATATACCGGCACATCTTCTCCATTACGCAGACCTAGATGCTGAGCGCAGATCTTAGTCTTATGTCTTATGTTAAAACTTTTAGACATTTTGAGTATGTCATTCTTTAGAATCGTTGAGGTAGTTTCTACTATAATTGGTGTATTTCGAGCTCCATCCTTTTTACCTCGAACTCTGTATATATCTTTAATATGGTTTTTATCTACGTCGCATCCAATGTTTTTTGTAAGATTCGTTACCATTTCAATCAGATCCTCTTTCGATTCTTTATCTTTCTTTGGCACATTCTTAATTTCAAAGCAAGTTTTCCTCATGCTCTTTTGAATGTCCTCGATCTTTTCTTCTAGAAGAGTAACATATTTTTTGTCTTCTTGTGCTTGACGTTCCAACTTCTCAATTTTTTTCCTATATTCTTCATTCTGAGCGCTGAGGAAAGCTATAGAGCTTTCAATATTGCGATTAGACTGCTGAATCTCTAGTAGGGTTGGAGCAATCTTTTTAAGTTCATCTTCCTGAAACGACGTTCTTGAGATAATAAGCTCCTTCATCTCCTCTTTAAAACAGTTTAACTCAACACTAAAGTCCTCATTTGCTCTTTTACGTTTACCACGCGCAGTAACCAATGAAGTCTGCGGGATAGATTCTGTCATTTTAATTGTGTTTATATCGGAC